GCTGAAAACATTAGCCTATCCAACGCTGCTGGCTAGGCCTAGCCTTACCTCGATTTTAGGTTCTGTTATCACACATAAAAACGGCCGACATGATATTTTCCGTCGCTAGTATTGACACTTGTGAAATATAATATTTCATAGAACTTATTTCAAATTTGTTAAAAACTGATTCTGACTGAGATTTTGACACTTAAACAAACATATCTCAACCTAACCGAACGACCGCATTGTGCGAGATGCGAAGTACAAAAAGTAAACTCATTAGAGAGGGCGCACTTTATTGACTGTATAAAGTATACATAAAAACGAGAGTATTCCAGTGGATGCGATCTACAACCTCTTGATTTGCCTAGTAACGATGAATTCGTCGAGAAAATGGTAATATTTTATGAGAAATAGTCTGTATTTCTCATTTTTTTTTATTCTTTTGCGTAAAACTAAAATTCATGCCAATATTTTTCCATGATTTATAATAATTGGAGTAATGCAAATGCATATTTTCTAAAAAAAGTCATTTTTAGTGAAATTTTGCCGGGAATGGGGCTTTAAATAATGTACGGGTTCTTAACTGTAGTAAAATATTTACTAAACCCTTGTCGAAGGATTTTATATTTTCAAAGCAAAAACAATTAATATTCAATGTTAGTCGTAGATAACCGTCATATTTATGTCTGAAGATAAGAAAATCAGGGTCCCCCACCACCTGACCCTTTTTTCATCCATAACATCTTTAATTGTAATAACATTTGCAAGTGATGTGAAGCGAGGGCCAGTGGCGTAACCTGGTTCTGAGAGGCCCTGGTTCGAGAATAGGCCTACTGTTGGAGCCATTGACACATATATTAACAATAACTACTCTTTTACTGAACCCCCGCCAAACATCATTCAGGGCGGGAACCCATTTATAAATCGTCGGGAAAAAACCAAAATTCGTCGGGACGAAAACAAAAATATAGGGCCTAGGCCTATATGATTTTCTACATACCGGTACTGTATTAAGTAGACTCCAAAATCGATTAAATAAGCCTTTCAAACCCCTAAATTGTCATATTTTTTCGGGGATTCGCCCCCTGGAACGCTTTCGAGAGATTCTGAGCGACGCCCGACCACGCCCACTTTTTTGTCGCACAATACATTAAAATCTACATAAGAAAATAAACTACAGTAAATCTTATTCTATTATTATTATTATTATTATTATTATTATTATTATTATTATTATTATTATTATTATTATTATTATTATTATTATTATTATTATTATTATTATTATTATTATTATTAAGGTAATTCCGATTACGTTATAAGCACTTTTAATTATTTAGTCAATTGGTCAATAAACGAGAGATCTACAAGGTGAAAAAAGATATAATAATAGTTAACAGAGCACTAAAAATCAGGGATCTATTTTGCATTGATTGGCGATCTGTTTCACAGTGGATTTCCATCAATCACGATGATATCGGCGTTGGAGTGACAGATTTTAGTCTAGGCATAGGGGTTAGGCATAATCTATTATTAAGTTACAAACCATTTTAGATTATAATGCTCAGTGTTAAATATAAAAATTACTATTGTGCATGATATCCAATGTGACCCTGCGGCTATCCTGTGCAGGATGTGCCTACGTAAACGTACAACCAAGATTATATGCATTGCTTTATTAAATATTTTTTATAAAGGGGCTGGTCTCCTAATGATCGGGAACCTCTGGAATTTGGGATTAGGGGCCCAGGTTGCCCAGGAGGGCCCGATGCGTTGAGAGGAACATGAAAATCATTTTTTAGTGAAAGATAGCTTTCGTGCTGGGGATACGTGCTGGCCTTCATTCGAGCCCTTTGCTCGGTCCCACGAAGTTGGCTCCATTTTTTTTACACCTCAAACATCTGTGTGCCCCTTTTCCAATCCATATTTGTTAAAATAATTATGATCGATGAAATGCATGTGGTATGTTTTCACTACCATTGCTTTCTTTACGGTCATCATTACATGTGGGAGGTTAACATGTTATCAACCAATATACACGCACAGTACACCTTTGAACCATGGGAAAGCAATCTTACTCAAAACTCTATCAGGTCTCGACTCTTCATGACGTTTTGAAATATCGTGACTGTTTAAGCAAGCTTTAACAGAAACCTGCGAAGGGTTGGTAGAAGCATGGAGGTAGCCTTACCTCCATGGTCGAAGAGTGTGATACGGTAGCGTAAGGATGGGGCGGGGGGCCCTGTGGCTAATTAGACTGGTGGCCCTTTCTGTCCATTGTGGGAGTTTAAATATGCTCGTTCTTTGTTTGTCATTCTATTGTGTCTGTATTCTAAAATTTTTAACGACGAAATCGTATATGATTTCAGTGGTGGTTCGAGCAATTTAAAATAGTGGGGGGGGGTCTATACCACCTCAGCTTCACCATGTTTGGAGGAATAGTACAGTCGATGTCGACACATTATGTGCAAATGGCAGTGTTCAATGCCAGATACGCCGGTGTTACATTGATGTCCCTCCCCACCCCCTGCCCCTGTTATACCGGCAATATTTGCCAGAATAAAATGCTCCTGACAGGTAATAAAGTATTTTAAAAATAGTAACTCAGAGTTTAGGTGTAGGTGTTAGATCAGAAAACAGCCGTATGTCTGTTGAAGTCATAGTAAACATTGACTTTAACCATGATATTCTTATTTAGAATCGATTGAATAATAACTATATATTTATAATGCTAATCTGAACTGAAAAATATTCATTATTCAAGCTATTAAATCAACATGTTCACAGCTTTTTAATTAATTTTATTTACTGCATGGAAATCCAATCTCAAATTTTTAATAATTGTTTTGGTTAAAAATTTTTATTTTTTAATTAAAAAATATTGCTTCGCTCAGTCTTTTTGGAATGGGCCATGTCTGAAAGCTCGAGGCCGAAGATATTCGTTTGCTAGAGAATGCAATAGCATAGTTTGCCCTATTTTCCAAGCAGATGCTGGATAGGTCTATAGGTCCTATATTCAAAAATGAATACACAGTCAAAAAAACATTTATGTAATGTCTGAAAGTGCTTTTTTCCACCGAGCATCCGTAATTATTTTAGGCATTAGAATAATATCATCTTTTTTAAATGTATAATTTTTTGTACATAGCAGTGTTCCTGAATATTTTTTTGATACCGTACCGACAGAATTTGTTAGAATAAAAAAAAAACTCCTGACCGGCTATAAAGTATAAAAAATAGTTTCAAAACATCTCAGGGAGTGTCTTGTCGTGGGTGTTAGATCAGACAACAGCTGTTTATTTAATAGTTTTCAGACACAGCTGTAGGCCTATCATTGTAAACATTACCTTCAACGAAACATGCTATGATAATAATTATGTTGATTCTTTTTCAAATTCGATTAGCTTGTTTGGATTATGCGTGGTATTTTATCTTAATAAATGAACTACCGGTACCTGGTGATGACACTCGTTTGCTATAGCATATTTTGTCCAATTTCAAACCAGGTGTTGGATATATTCAAAAATTGAATACATACACACTCTAAAAACTATTTTTTAAAAGTCTGAGAGTGGCTTTTTCAGATCGTCCGTGTAGTGCATGTTTGATTTTGATATTGAAGTTTATTATTAAATAATTCTTTTAAATAAATTTCGTAGGCCTGTTTGAATAGATGTGTACAATTTGCATTATTATTGTAATGTTGTATTTTATATGAAACGCATTGAAATGAAACGAAGTAAATCTGAAAATGCGCTATATAGTGGTGCCATGTTTTAAAACCCATGGCGTGGTTTGGATGTCCCTACATGATCAATCACTAATTGCCTCTGCCGTCCATGTTATCGCAGGTTTCCTTAAAAATGTACGAACATTTGTTTTCATAAATATTGATATGATGTTTCTTTCTCGTTTCTTTCATCTTGATAGGACATCCTCTCCTGAACACGGGTCGAATTACTGGGCAATAATATTGATATAAAAGCCTAATAGGACATTTCTCTATGGCGCTTGAAGACATCTCTTGAAAAAAAACTTCCAAAGCAGAGGGTTATCTACTTGAAATTAGGAGGGGGGTGGAAAGGTGAAGTGGGGGGGGGGGCTAGATGATTAAGTGGGTAAGGCCCTGGCAAAGTAAGATGATTTGAGGTGATTTTAAATACTTCAGCTTAATTTTTTTTTGCTTTTCAATCCAAAAGTGAAAACAATCGCAAGCTTTTGGAAGCCTGCTCCCCACCCCCACACACACTCCTAGATAGGCTACTGTTTGGGAGATCACATCGACAATAGTTGAATATAGGCTGAATATGTTTTCAGAGCTATATAGTTTTCTGTAAAGTATAGTAAATTTCGAAACTCTGAACAGATGATAACAAAATAAACTTAAATCGTCCATTTATTCATGTTTAAAGCTAATGTACAAATATATTGCTGTAACTTAGTTACTCACAAGATTATGTTACACCAGTGTAGTCACATGTCCTCATAAGGCTAATACCTGCGGGGGTGTCAAAGTTCATAATCAGCTCTCAGTCTTTTCAAGATGAATTTTAAACCAAGAACGTCATCGTTTTGATCTGGTCAGCAGGTATTGGCCCACGTAGACATATGCACTACAGTTTATCTATCAAACCACATTAAGCTTGGCAAGGGCAACACATACTAAGGCAAGAAGAGTTGTTTGTATAGCTAATGCAATCAAATAAAATAGAAATAAAATAGCCTATGGCTTGGGACACCCTGATCAATAAAATGCAGTTTTTGATCAGGAATACTGGTACTGTATTGGCCCAGGTAGACATATTACACTATTATCTATCAAAAACAGAAAGGTTGGTAAGGCAACAGATATTAAGGCAAGAGGACTTTTTTGTATAACTTAAGCAATCAAAAAAAATAGGGAAAGCATTTTGCTACATAACCTATGGCTTTGGACATCCTGATCAATACAATACAGCACATATTACTGTAATTAAAATATTGTAAAAATGCATTATACAGTATATTGCAGTTTTCAGTGGTTTCCTGAATGATGTGCAACATGTTTCAATTAGAAATTTGAACACTTTCATTATACAGAAATACAGTGCAATGTGTCTCTTATGGATGAGTACTTTACAATAATAAATTATACTTGGGGATCAGATTCATCACTAGCCACCAAGCACAACCTCTGTGGTCTAGTGCTAAAGACACCAGGCTAGTTATCTGGAGGTCGTGGGTTCGATTCTCACCTGAATCACTAGCAAGATTTTTTTCGCAGGCATTTGGTAACGTACTGAGCATTCAGTACGATAACACACCATGCAGGACAAACATCTTTTCATATTATTTCTCCTCATGCAAAAACGTTATCGAAATACATTACAATATATATTATGGATAGATTTAAAATTAAGTACAACTAATTCCATCCCCACTTTTCAAAATTCAAACTTTACTCAAACCAGTACTGTAATTGGCATTGCAAATGTCCAGAATTATTTTTCACCTGCTGGATCAGAGCAGATACAGATTGCAGCACCCAGGAATATTCGAGGGCCCAAAAAACGCTAATCATACAAAACAAATTCATTTAATATGGATGCACAAAGCCATAGGTGTTAAAACATAACTGGATTAAGGTATATAAATGAATAAGGTACTTAATATAATGTCTTTATATGCCATAATAAATAATATATAGGCACACCTGGAATGAAGTAGGCACATCAAGTGGCATCCTGGTATCATCAAAAAAAGCAGAAGTTAAAAATTTGAATGTTTATAAATATACTAACTGTCACCTACAAAAAAACCTTGTACCAAAGATCTTATAAACACAGGATAGCGTTCTCAGTGATTTACGTGTAACAAATAGAAGCGTCGATTTGGCACAGAAAAGTAATCAGTTTTGGGAGAGGGTGTCCTAGTTGTTGCCATGGATCTGAGATAGGGTGTTCGCTTTACGCCATAAGTTAGTTACTAAGTACGTTAATTTGTTCCTTATGTTCTAAAGAGAGGGCGCATTGTAAATCGGAAGCTTCTAATTGTTGCGCGTAAACGTAAAGTCGCACGGTGTACGCTATGATCAGAGCGGTCAAGGTTCAAAAGTTTTCAATTTTTCAAGAGGGCGCTGTTCATGCGTTATTACAGAATTTGCACACATAAATCATGGAGAACGCTATCTTGTGTTTATAAGATCTTTGCCTTGTACTTATGGTATTCACTGAGGGCGCCATTACAAGTATTCTTACAGACATGGTAGTCTTTTTACAACACCTACAACTGTGGTGGATATTAATATTAATGGTTTACTCTAAAGCTATCAAATTTTATTTGAAAAGAGCTGTTGTATGCCCATATATAGTCATGATGTGCCTATATATGGTCATGATGTGATGTCATCATGACCATATTTAGGCATGTCACATGTTTTTGTCAAATAAAGTTTGATAGTCCGGACAGAGCTTAACACACTGAAATCCTGTAGTAATTCATGAATATCTATATCTAATGCAATTGTAGCAGTGCTAAAAAGACTAATGTGATATTATGAATATTTATAACAGCTGTTATGAATATTCATAATATATAATATTGAATTACAATTCATCCTTTTCATAGTCTTCATCAGTCTTTTCTACATATGGTCCATTAAGATACTCTTCTGGAACCTCTCCAAATAGCGTCTTCTTCCTGTAGAAACCTTTGTGCAACATAAGTGCAGTTAATTCTTTCTGCGACATTGGGGCCATGTCAATTTTCTGTTGGAGAGAAAGAAGACAAATTCAATAAAGCAATTTTTCATGCACAATAATGTCAATTTTTAGCGCATCATTTCCAAAACCCCAGATGGCAGCATAAAAACCCCTTGGAGGCGATCCAGGGGTGAAGTCCTTAAAAGCTCTAAAATTTTTGGTATTTGAAAGGCTAATTGAATCAATTTTAGGGTCTCATAATCTATAAAAAAAAATTATTTGTGTACAAGTTTCGACCATAAAATAGTGCATTGTATAAAGTTTTTTTTTTAAAAAGAACAGCATGTCATCTTTAAAATGTATTATAACACAAAGGATGGAAATACAAACCTCAACTACTCCACCTGCAGCATCTAAAAAGAAAAGCACTGGGGATGCACCTGACTTGGGTTTGAACACTGCATTGTGGCTAAGAATCCACAAGTCAAGGCAACTAACAAAATGTACCATCAGTCTCATTTTTCTTTACAATACAATTGTTTTTTCAAATACTTGCATTATCCAATATACAGGTCCATAACAAGTATTTCTTAAAATAAAAGCTACTCACTGTAATGCTGGTATATTATGGGACTGACATTTATTTATAATTGTTTTATTATATTGTGGGATAATTAGTTACTTATTAATATTATTATTTATGAATGAGAACAAAAGTGCTGCAAATTACTCACTTTATTATACTGGCACAAACAAGGGTTTAACATTGAGCTACAGTACTGGGCCGATGCCTTAAAGATGTTGACCCACAATAAGAAGTAGAAATTATTATTATGAGATTCTTATCTATTATTATTTATTAATCAGAAAATGGTATGGCAAAACAATTTTCTTTGTTGAAAGTCATAAAATATTTACTATATCAATAAACAATAAACATTGAGTATCATTGTGAATCTACACCTAGACAAGGACTATATACACAACAGTGAATGCAGTGCCCATTTTTGATCACCTCATCTTTTTCATCTAAAACTAAAAAAAAACTACAGAAATAATTTTCATTTTAGAAAAAAGAGATATGGAGGATACAAGTAAGGCAGGTCATTGTGAATGAACCTCTTCACTTCCGGCAGTTTGTTCAAACGTCATCCAGTGCAGCTCTGGAAATAGAGAAAGACATCAATCACTTAACACCATGCCTTGTGGGGGCAAGGCAGTAATGACATTGGTGACAACTCTAATCTACATTACAGATGACAATAATTCAACCAGATTAAAACATTATAAGTCAAGCACATGGCTTTTTTTTTTCTCACATAAATTTCAATTTTTGAAATAGCAAGAGAGACATCAAAATATGGATTTTTTTGTATTCAGAGACTAGACAAAAGAAGCATTGTTTATTAAGAATTACATGTTTTTTATGTTTTGATAACTATTATTCTCCATCTTGCTGACAGTTCCCCTTCCCCCCCCCCTTTTTTTTTCCCTTTGTTCTTTTTGAATGTTGTATTTTTAAATTTGATTCTTGATTATCCATTTTAATGTACAGTATTTACTTTGTACTTGTATCACTATTATTCAGTATCATTATTGTTTTTAACAATTTTATTCTTTATAATATATGTATTTTTAACCTACCAATTTTTAATGTTCTCCTGTTTTAATGTTTTTTTAATTGCTCTGTTAAATTTTAACGTAAATATTACTGTAATTTGTAAATCTCCTGTAATTCAGCCTTTTGGCTGCTAGTTGAAGATCAATAAAGAATAAAGATATAAAGATATTTACACAATGTTTTGGAAATAATTGTGGGAGTATTATTGAGAGATTAGGGGCCTCTTACTTCTATGTAAGTATTACAATGAGAAATTCTATTTAGGTAAGTCTGTGTACTTATTTCTGCAGCAAAACATGGTTGTTTTTTTCACTAATTTATATTTTCAAAACTATCAATTTGTACTTTAATAGTAATTGTTTAACATTGAATTAGTATACAACTCTCAATCTGTCTTGCTTATCAAAATCAAAGTATGAATTTATTTAATTTCATAATTGTATATTATTATATTGATGTCATCCATTATTATTAATATTATTATTTTATTAGTTAAGTTTTGCTTTTTAATGATTTTGTATTTGTTCATTTAATTACTGTCTGTATATATCTATGTTTAAAAATATCCAGAAGACTGGACTAACAGGCCTGAGAGCCAGAGTATTTTTCACACTATAGTTAATCCTAGACAACTTAGGTTATTTATTGTCTCAAGTATTTGTTAAATTTCATACTTGTTTTGTGTTCACTTGTTTATGTTATTGGCTGAATAAATAAAGAATGAATGAATGAATGTGGGAAACACAATTTCATTAAAAGTAAAACATTGCAGTTGCTCATTTAAAGTTATCAACAAGATGCAGATAAAAAAAATCCATATTTTATGTGTAGACTTGTACTAAGAAAATGCTTAAAGATGTGTTGTCCTATAAAAAATACCAAAAACAAATCACAAAAATAAAAATTAACTTGCTCATTTTGTAGTGACATAAAAATCATCAACTTGAACATAGAAAATAGTGTACTAAAAAAAATGTCTACCCACAATCTTACAATGAAAAATGATAGAAACACTTCCAGTTACAGGGAGTGTTATATTTCTTTCATCATTATCAAGTATATAAACTACCATACACATTTTTAAATTCAATAATTTCTATGATCAAGTTACTAATTTGTATGCTACTTACTTCAGTCATTTTTCAGAGGACAATACATCTTAAAAATGAACTCTGAATGTATGGGTTTATGTAAACAATGAGAGGAATAACATTATATGTTATCAGTTATTAGGTCAGGATGTCAGTTATTTTAGTTTTCAATGAAAGCCAACAACTTTATCATTGAGGCAATTTTTTTTGAGGAAGCAATACCAAGTAGTATTTAATATTCTATGTCAATAATTTGTATGTTACTGCAAATTGAATAAGTTATTTTCACAATTGTTTTTATGATTTTTGTCATTTTTCAGAGGGCAATGCATCTATAAAATGGACTCTGTACCAGCCGATGCATGGGTTTATGTAAACAATACAAAAATATTATAATGTTATCTGTTAATGGATCAGGATGTCACTTGATTTTTTTTAGTTTTCAATGAAACAGCTTAAAACTTAGGCTAATTATCAAACATATTCTGGATGTCGTGGTTCTGTTTCTCAACCTTAAAGTCAAAGGTTCAATACTTCGCTGTGCAATTTTGCTTTTGTCCTAATAGGCAGGCACTTTACCTACAGTTGTCTTTCTCCACCCAGGAGTACAAGTCAGTAACTGTACCTAGTAGGTTCAAACACAAAATGTGCTGATTACAGCTACAATGTTATGGAATTTTCCCAAGGGAGCTGAGTACCATATGTGATCCATGTGTGCTTGATCCCATGACCCGGGGAGGGGTGTAATAATAATGTGAATTGCTTAGAAGCCTTGTTGGCATAAAGCGCTATATAAGTCTAATTATTATTATTTCAAATATTGAATTTTATTGTATACTAAAGTTTTATTTTATTAGCCACAGGCAGATGGAATTTGCATCTCCATTCAAAAATCCATACCATACTGGAAACACCAATAGGAAGTACTTAACACCATTCCTCTACCATATGGTAATAACAAATAAAAAATATTATGTACTGACTGTACGTAGACCTCTTTCTGGAATTTCAAGTATTTATAGTATCACTGTTTGTCTTGCACCTTCAAATCATTCGTTTGATTTTCAGAAGGCTCTGCTCAGTGTAGTTTAGGCCTGGTGTAATTAGTGTTAGTAGTACTACTGTAGTAGTAGTAGAGTAGGCCCATCCCTATCTTCATGCATGAAGGCCACCCCATTCCAGTAAGATGCACTGTCCTGGTCAACTAGGACAGTGAGTTAGCTAAATGTTAGTCTAGGCTTACCTCAACTTCAGCCTTCATAACATCAGCCGAGATGGTAATGCACACAGCATGTAGGCAGAGAAGAGCCGTAAAAACAGCCTTCATCTTTTAAAAAGGAAAAATGATTATTCAGTGGTGATAAAGCTATAATTTAGGATCTTCTTTCTTATAGCGTTTCGTCAAATAATGACACGTCGAATTCTTATTTGGCGTTAGGTCTCTGTGTATTGTTTACATCAACGGTCCACTGCACATCCCCAAATGTTAGAATCCCACGCCGACTCTCAGCTGATTACAATGGTATAAATAAGGATGTAGGCCGCCCGCAGGCGGTAAGTACGGTTGGCAAAGATTTGTTAGTACTTCGGACCCTTCCGCAAGACCCGGCCTTTGGGATCTGAGCATTTGGGGTGGTCTTGGGTTGGGTCTTCAATTAGAGCGCATTCTTTTTGTTATATGATGTTAGCTGGTTCTTGAATTCGAATTAGAGGAATAAACCACAAAAAATATACGGTACATATCCCGTACATATTGACTACACTCGGCAGCTGCGTAATTTTCGTTGACAAAATAAACGGTGAACGAATCTGTAGTCTTGTCAAAAGATATGTCTTTAGAGAACATGTTTGTGCAATGTATTACATTATAATTAGTATGTCCTGTGACTGAGATGAGAAGGTAAAAGATGGTTACTTAATTAAGGCCAGGCTCTTGAGGAAATCTGTGATCATATGTTGTACAACAACTCTAAGACAAAAAAAATGGTTGCTTGACGAAAAACTTGGGAATGAGATACAAAAAATGTGGTAAAGGGGGCGTAACTACCCTTTTCCACCCTTTCGCCCGGAGCCTGACTGTACATTAACCAAATTATCAATTAAGATGGTGATAGACGAATTCAATTTAAATGACAACACATTTTTTTTTTGCCAAAAGGAAAAATATTTTCTTTTTTACTTTGGTCCATTTTAACATGGCACTAGGGGTCTATATATGCTAAACTTTCTTTTTAAGAACACATTTTATAAGAACACTGAGACTGAAATTGCTTAAAAATTAAGAACAAATTAAGAACAAAATGAGGCTGAGGTGAAATTTCAAATGAGTTTATTATTTAAAAAAAAACAAACAATTATATAACATTATGTGCAGTAGGTGTAGGCCTAACTATGTAATACCCTCTTAACACAGTACAGTAGGTGTACCTATCTGACGTTCAATTCATTCATTTTTAATTATCTTTTCCGTTGACAGGTTCCATGACATACACAGTCTTTCCTTTCCTATCATTTTGGCCTTTTTAGCTCTTGAGAACTCTCAGGTTATCAATAAATGCCCCAATTCTTTAACTCTGCTTCTATCGGGCTTCGCAAAAGAAGGCCTATCGTACTCTTTCAAATCAGTGGCCGAGTGATCGACGGACAATTATCGACGGGTACCAGCATGCGAAGCCTTGGTGAGGCCCAGTGGACCAACCCACTTTTCTTTTATTCGCAGATTGGCCACAGCTTGCCAAACCCCGGGCCCACTGTCTCCACCATTGCAGTGTCCACAACAGGTATGACAATTTCTAGCAGAAGCCAACGGGGACCAGTAGGAAATTTCAGTTTTTTTGTGTCGAAGTGACGGGGGGTGGGGCTTGGCATGACTGTTGAGGGCTTAGTCCTGCTACACCTACCCCTCATACTAACGCCGCCACTGGGTCTAACTCTACGGCCTTTATGCGTCCAATATTGATAAAACATTTTGTATTTCATGGATAGGCTACAGTAATTCAAATTAAATTCAATGTATTCCATGCTTATTATTTAAATTAAATCAAAAACAAAAACATACATACATATACATACATATCAAAACTACTTAATTCTAATACCAATTTAAAATTTAAAAAAAACACGGTTTCTAAAAATCACATATAGGCCTATCGCTTTAGCAGCCTTCGAGTTTTCAATAGCGAATATGACAGTGACAGATCACCTCCCAGAATAATAATTAAAACATTATATTTGAAGCATTCATGTTTTATACCGTACGTTACAGTGAACTAATACTATACCGTACATCTCAATTTATTTGCTATTCGAATGGATAGATCCTGAACGAAACATTGATGGATAAAATTGTAATGTATTTTTTCAAAGGGCTGGGAGAAAATACTTAAGGGCCAAAGACGCAACCTGTGGTGCCGCCACTGGCCCTCCTTTTAGAAAGCGCCAAAGTTCTTGGTCCTAAAGTTCTACAACCTCTTGTATGATCCAGTTATTGTAGTTCTGAACTTTGGTATAAACACCGGGCGTCTCCGCTCGAGCACAACCGTATCCCCAACTGGTGATACCAACGAGGTACCAGCGATCCACATTCCCGTCAGAATCGGGGTACTTGCAGACAAGGGGTCCACCGGAATCGCCCTACAATGACAATTGATATTGTTAGGCTATACTGTAAAATAAAAACACAGTTTGAGAGTGTTTATCGTATTTATGGTCATTTTGGCCTCTTTTTTAATTGTCCGGGAGAGGGGGAATATAGACACTTTAGGCTGAGGCATGGGCCTAGTTACCAACCGTCCCACATTTTAAAGTGATTTTGGATGAAACACGCATTTTGCAGAAACACATGCGTGATTAATATATTTGTCACGAATTCAGGGGAAAATGTATTTAAAATTAGAAGGAATTGGTTTTATTAAAAATATAGAAACGGTAATGCAGTATCTTGAGTCAATAGGGAGCTTTCGTTATCTCGTTCGAGAATCAATTCACCGAGAATATTTCTCTTTCCCGACCAAAACAACCAAGCCAACCACCACATACATTAGAATCTAGTAGTCGCGTGCGGTCTTGCGTGTTCATTGTCACAACCAACCGTTGATTATGTAACTGGAACCCGTCTTTATCTATCTGGGAATATTAGATGTTGAAACATAAATTTTAAATAATAATACTATTTAAAATTTATGTTTATAGTATATTATACTAATAAAGCTACACACCTGGCACGCGTCGACTCCTCCGTCCTCGTAACCAGCACATATCATGTTTGGCGTAAAATCGTCGGCTGTATAGCCATCAAACTCGTAGCAGGCACTACCTTCGCCAATATAAGGCACCTCAGCTTCAAGAAGGCTCGAGGCTGGCAACCCACTCTCTGTTTATCAAAAAAAGTAATATAGTTTTAACAATTTGGGTTTGAAATAGCTTGGTACAATCTGATTAGATGGGCCGGGAGAGGAAGCTGACCGTACGGCGACGACGAAATCGACCACGGTGACGATTATGATGAGGATAATAAATAATTTTAGATTGCAATTTTTATATGATCTTCATGATATGTTAAATATTATTCACGGCACACTTACCGCTCGTGGCTCCCCAGCCGGTTATAAAGCACATGGAGCCCGGGGAAAATATCATATCTGGTCTAGCTATGCAGATATTGTTGATGAGCGAATCGGCATTTGGTGGCGGGCTAACCGGTTCCGTCAGTTTCAAGATCGCAATATCGTTGTCTAGAGTGGTAGGGTTGTAGTCTTCATGGAGGACTATATGAGAGATGGTACTTGAGAACTGAGCGTTATCCTCGACACTTGTTGATAACTCCTGTTTTCCTAAATAAACCCGCCATCCTGCTGGATTTAAACTGAAATATAAACGAAATTGGTTTGACATATTTCCTTTATGTATCTCTGTTCAAATTTTCCTCCTCATAATCGTCATCATTCTTATTATCATCATCCTCATCGTCGTCATCATCATCGTCGCCGTCATCATCATCACCACCGTCCATCCATCCATAATAATGATAATGCCAAATACTTATATAGCACCAATTCCAAATTGAATGATCAAAGGCGCTGCGTTATACCCCTGGTCATCATAATCATCATCACCATCAATCATAATCATTATCATAATTATCATCATCATCATCGTTATCATTATCATATTAATTAAACTTAATAATATTTTAATTATTAACGATGTGGAATCATATTATTACACTTGGATTGTGTAGGTTTTACATCATACCTGTTATACACGCAGTGGGCGGCTGTAATGATGAATTGATTTTCGTACAGTGAGCCCCCACATGTGAAGAAACCATTATGAAATAACAGAGCCTGCCATGGCCAAGCACCTTCCGCTGCGTACTCTCCCCCTACGATCCTGGCTCTGGATTCCGTTGGATTCCGAGCGCCACACCCAGTAGCTGAAGGTTAAACAAGTAGTTATATCATGACTAGGTGATGTTCCAGATATAGTGCGTACATGGTTTATAAAATTACATTAATATTTTATATTAAAATATTTAAAGGGCTCTTTGAAGCTAAGGTTTGATTCACACTAGAATATTTCGACGCGTGAAGCAAACGCTACTGAGTAGAAGCATTGGTTGCGGTTGGTGTTTTCTCGTGTAAACCAAGTTGAATTACCGTACGTTCCATGGCCCCAAATAGTAGCATAATCCACGTCCCAAGCCTAAATAAAATCATATCATTTTTGTTTAAATACACAATACGCACCAGCTTCAGGTCGACAACCATCTGGTTCTAGGCAAATAAAATATTCGTGGGCGTTTCCAATGCAGTTGTCATGACTACATTCACAAATGCGAGTTCTATTCGAAATACCACTTCCACAACCAGCGTTGCACAGTGACCATGATCCCCAATCGCTCCACGCACAAGAAGCTAGAAAATGACATTTGTCGATGTTATTGTCAATGCACGTTTATCTTTTTAAATAATTTGACAAAAAAACATATTTAAACCACTTGACCATTAACATCGAATTCTGAATGTGTTATAATTATTTATTTCTATTAGTGGGCCTATTCGTGTATAAAATTGTATAGGACTAATGACATTGCCGATGACTAATAATGCTAACAGGAAAGTAATACTGTTATCAGGAGTTACTCACTCTCGTCGTCGCTTCGTTCACTACTACCATAACTTATGGAAGTCTGTGATTCGGATGTAGAACTGTGTGGCTCGCTTTCACTACTGCTAAAACTGAAACTACTTTGACCTCCGTTTTCACAGTAAACTTCATCAGAACCATCCTATTCAGAAGATAATAAGAATAAAATAAAAAGTTTTCTGTTAGTCTCTTCTTAGTAAATGATGGAGATACATATTCTCGCTGATACCTCCATTGTGAGCTTTCATAAAATTTTACTGTATAAAAAGTAATATTTGAATTCTTACGTCACAATCATTGTAACCATCACATATCCAATTATCCGGGACACATCTTGGCTGTTTTTGGCATTTTACCTTGCCTTCCGGACATTCAATTGAACCTATAGGGAATTAACAAATCAAAGTTGGTTATTGCGCGCCCTCTCAGACCTACATACATCATGGAATTACGTAATGTTTTATTGCTTTGAGAGACTCGGATCATTCACAGAATGGAGATGGACAAACGTACCGGTTTAAGATGCCCAAATGGATTCCAACGACCTCATAGTGTTAAATTTAGGTTCAGATTAGGAGCAACTACTATTTTACTAGAAATGTTACTGTAAGATTTATGTATTTATTTTAGGCGTAGTACCTCCTTGCGTAAGTGTTAGGTAAAGCCAACTTATAGGGGCGGAAAAATAAAGAAAGGAAAAGAATTTATTGATCGCTCAAAACGCATCAGAGGTTATTTCTGGGCGTCTAGACAACAAAAATTTCCCGAGGGAATGCCCCCACACCCCATAGAGTAGTATTGTCTCAGGTCGCCCTCCCCCTTTCAGACATCTCCCGACGGCGCACTTGTTGCACTTGCCCAATAATCAGTTCAAATTTGAGGTTGCAAATTTGGGCTGTTGTCTTTTTTCACATGGGTTTGGAAGACTATTACTTCGAACGAGATTTATGCTTACAATGACTTTCATCGGATAAATCTCCGCAGTCGTCGTAATCGTCACACTCCCAGTAGCTTGTAATACACGAACCATCAAAACAGGCAAAATTACCTGCCGGGCACTGTGGGCTAAGGTCTACATCTGAAACAACAACATTTATATTAATTTTATATTCAATAGACTCATACATTGTAACATTTTTAAAAATATTCAAATCTGTAATCTAACACAGGCCTATAATTCGTACCGGTATATCTATAATAGAGATCAATTTACATTTTGGTCTTAATGGTACTAAAGAAACATTGTTTTTTTACTTTGTTCACTTTTAAGCGCACCGATGTTGTTTACATTCAGATGCTATATAAAATATTGATATTATAATTATTATTATTACTATTATTATTAAATAATGTGTTATTCATATAATTCATTACACTAAATATGTAAACATTTCACATTTTTTATACCGTATGTTATGTTAATTTTTTTCCATAAGATTACCGACCTTCACAATTTTGAGGAAAGATATAACAAAGTAGTTTGTTCCATGTCAAGGTGTAATTTCCAAGGTGTACATCAGCTGAAATATAAACCACGATTACAGTTATAATATTAAAACATTTTAAATTAAAATATACAGTATTCACGCACAAAACACTCTTGCAAATGCATCCTCATGTCTTATCATTACTATGGTCATGTCACGAATGACTTATAATTCGTATCATATACGGTATTATATCAAATGGTACGGTCATCTACTCAGACTACATAGCGACACTTCAACATACACGGCTTTAGAAGGAAAGAGAAAAGACAAAAACCACAGACAGAAAATAACTTGGCTGAGTAACATTCAGAGATCTAGACTTGCATGAGTTTAATATACTCTCTTTTGCTGAACATCGTGACAAATGGCGCGAGATTTGGTAAACGCGCGAAAGACAAATAGCGTTCATATGATAATAATATCATATTATATCATAATTATATCATATCATAATCTATGATACCAAATAATTATACCATATCATATCATAATAATATATAATTATACCGGTATCATATCTACCATATCACAGTATTTTGTCTTTGCACATAGTAAATACATGACATGCAAATATACAAACTAATATACAAATATTTACTGGGTTGAGGGGCATATTTCAAAGTATCCCGAACTGAAGTCGAGGGATATAGTACAGCCTCCAGATCACTAAAGGCTATACTTTGAACTATGACCCGATTAAATCCCAGTTAATATTTGTTTTATCACAAACCCTATATACCACTACAAGAGGCATTAGAGGGCATGGCTGAAACTATTGCCCTGCTTTTAACCAATCAAATGCCTGGAATCTATGCAGTCTGTATAATAAGGACAAATATAATATAAAAGTAGTAAACATCACCATCTGAAAAACAGGCACATGCAATAATAAAATATGGTTTCAACGTACTTGATAAAGTAAAAATGCGTTCAGATGAAGCTTGTTTTCCTACAACCTTCTTCCCCGAAACACGTTCCTTTAAACGTTTCTTATTGTTCAGACGGGCGTTCATTGATTTCGCCAAACTAAACAGTTCACCAATGCTCTTCTTCAATTTTGATAATTTCTTAGAGGCGGCAATTTCATCCTCCTTTTCTGTCTTTTTCTCTTCGAGTTTTTCTGCTTCGTTGAAGTGCTTTTTATTCTCGTCTTTCTGGAGTTTCTCGATAACGTGCTGAACTCCATTTTTCTCAATTTCCAAGTTCTAAGACAAAATACAATTGTTACTCGGTGACAACTTCATTTAATTTATCAATATGTTTAGGCCACTTATAACGTTAAAAAAGCCATACAAGTTAAAATTTTAATATTACCTATTATGGATATATTGATGTATATAACAATAAATACGTTCGAAACTGTGGGAGTAATTTGGTTATATACCGTACGCCTATTCGTTATTCCGATGAGAAATTAGACTTATAGGACCCGGTATGAATTGAGGGCAGAATCAAGAGTTAGACATATAGACACTACTTCAGTACACTGCAAAATATTCTATAATCTGCACTAAAATAAGCGCATCTCAATGTTCTAAAATAAGGGCATAGCTTAAATATGTTATTACATTTTGTACAGTCACATTTGGGGATGACAGACCTACAATAGAATTTTTGCCAAATTTGAATTTGCAAATCTGTTAATACTTTACTTTTCACAGGCTGTTAAAATCAAAATAATAAGTATATTTAAACAAGAATAACCTATATTTTGAAAAGTACTACTAGGCCTAATAAACGTTAAAATGCTACCGTACCTTCTTAACAATGCGAGCTGCGTAAAGCTTAGCAACAAGACCCAGTAAAATTACACACGTCGTAAGTCGCATTTTCGAAAGTTAGCCTACTATTTGTCTCCAAAACTCGGCACCCGAATGACACATCTCGTACTTCTTAAGCATATAAGGCTCCTGGAAAACAATTCTTCAGGCAACAATCAATACCATTCAAAGTACCTGTTGCTTGTTTCTAATCCTATATACCGCTGCTGACGTACATCGAATTTAATTACATTGTATTCGGGCTGATGGGTAACGGAGCTGATGATTGTTAGAGTATAATGCGATCTGAAAATGTGCACGACTTGTTTATTTTTGGAATTTATTCCTTGAAGCAGGCTGGTTTCCCCCGGGCATATCCCCCCGGTATTTTTCCCCGTGACATTTGTCCCCCGGACTCCCCCCCCCCCGACCAATTAAAAAAAAAGAGCAAATGCAAATTAATTGCTGTTAACGTTTGTGTAACTATTATAATCCATGTCTTCAATAGCGTTATAATTTAATGATGTTGATAATAATAATAATAATAATAATAATAATAATATTATTAATAATAGCAATAATTTCTTATATTATATAGATACTTTGCCGCCTACATTTGTATAAATATTCCCATGTTATCAGTATTTTTATGCTAAAGTTTTGTAGAAAGCGTGTGTAAAAAAACTTATTTTATAAAAGAGATTATATAAATCTTGATGTATTCCTTGCATTTAAATTTTGTTTATTT